TTCTGTGGCGGTTGCTAGGCAACAGGAGCAGCGCGACGTAAGCGAGACAGTCCCATTTAAAGCCGCTCGGTTCGGCCTTCACGGCCTATGGATGCAGCTGCTGAAGTGGGGCGCTGCTTCGTGCTGCTCACGGGCTCTGATGGATGCTAGCTTCATGTGTGACGGACTGTTAGCTGGAAGAGTTTATTTTGGTGCTACGACTGAGAAACATTTCAGGGTCTGAAGCAACAGTGGAGAGACTGGCTGACTGCTGCAGAAGAAATCTGCTCTGAGGTTAACAGAACGTCTGATCGTCCAGTATGAGATCAACCTTCAGCAGAGACTGCTGGATATCAGCCGGAAACCCGAGATAAAGTTACGCATAACAGGTAAAACTGCGATGGTCTCAGTGGACTAACACAAGAATACAACTCATGTAGGACCTGATCAGAGCTCAGCTTGTAGGCTAACATACTGAAATCAGGGAGCGGCTAATCACACAAGTGCGTCTCTTTTTTACGGTAAACTTTTAGAATTAAACAAACATTGAGACCGAGAGAAAGTGCCTTTATAGAAGATTTATTTAGAAGATTAAGATAAAGGAGGCAGGGAGGGAAAGCTTCGGTTTTCTGCACTGTGCCACAGTTCGCTGTCTGCTTCGGCTCTCTGACCCTCACTCCGGGGCTACAGACAGTCCTCTGCCGCCTGTGGTGCTCCTCACGTCCGTCTGCACCCACAGGCTTCCCGAGGTGGAGGCAGGCCGGCAGGGACTTTGAGAGATGGGCTTTACTTTCAGAAATACCCCTTAATCAGGGTCTAACTCCCTACAAGACCATCGTGCCTCCCCCACCATCCTCACCTCATGTTAAAATGTATATTTTTCAACTGAATTATATTTGGGTTCAAGAAAACAATGAGGTTTTTAAAATAACTTTTTAATGTTCTAATAAACAGTCTTAACTCGAACTAAATCAGCTCAAATCTCACAGATGTCAGTGTTATTCACAAAGCATGGAAACATAGTTGTTAGTTTTGAATGCAGCCACAGCAGGCAAACTATGACTGCATGCTCCAAAGAACAGGAGCACAGTAACTGAACACACTCTTAGCGCACTTACATCTGATTTTGGGAACAGTTAAAAGATCTGAACCTGATGAACTGAGAGGTTTAACTGGGTCAAAGGTCGAGAGCCAATTGAAAACTGTCCGGTGAAACCAACTAAATCATGAAACCTTTGATTTAAAACGTCATGATCAACAGTATCAAAGGCAGCAATGAGATCAAATAGAACTAAGACTGAAACTCTGAGTCCCTAATAATCTTCAGATCACTGATGACTTTAGTTGGGTTGTTTCTGTGCAATGACTGGCTGTGAAACCTGACTGGTACTTATCTGCTATGGCACTGTGAGATTTTCAGTTTAATCTACAACAATGACAAACATTTACTTGCAGCGTGAAGCTGGCAGCAGCTACCTGAACGATTTGTACTCTGATCTTTCCTAATAAGAGTATCAGAGCTCGAGAGTAACTTACACTTTCATTGTTCATGTTTGTACAGTTTAAATTTCACTCCCATATGAGGACATGCTCAGAGTGGACTATATTTGCTCAGATGTGTTTTCCTGTCATCACATTATTAACCTTTTTCCTCAGTGACCCTTTGTTCCTCAAGATCTCCCCCTAACATGAAGTGTGAGGAAGAGGAGGGCCTGTATGACCAGCAGGTCTCCAACCAGGAGAGGAACTCCAGTCTGGACCAGGAGGGCACAGATCCTCCACAGATCAAAGAGGAAGAGGAGGAACTCTGCATCAGTGATGACGTAGAAAAGATTGTACTCAAACAGGAGGACGAAGGCCTCATCTGGACTGAAGAAGAGCAGCTCAGACAGCTGGATAACATCTGGAAACCTGAAATGAACTTACACAGCAGGGGTATGTAAAACCGTAATGGTCTTACCTAAAAATTAATATGACTTTAATTCATTCATTCAATAAAGATATTTTGTAAACACAGAGTTCTTCAAGGCCAGTGTTTAAATAAACTCAGCTGATTGTTAGTAGAGGTTTTCTGAGAGCTTCACTGCTTTTTATCCCCATATTTTAATCCTACTTTTAAATTTCCCCTTCTGTCTGATGTTTGTCTTATCATTTACATAAACATCTTTCCAACAATAATTGGTGGACAAACTGGGAAAATTAGTGCATAGAAATTTACTAACATGTTAGAAGTGAGTGCATGAAATCTTATTTTAACAGTTTCCAGGTCTGGGTAAATGATATGATGATATTTCTGATGATATTTTGATTAAACTCTGTTGTAGAGTTGGAAATGGACAGCTGTAGACACCACTGCCAAGTAGTCATTCTTGTTATACTTCTATATTTATCTAAGACAAGTAATTTTGTCCATTTGTCACCTCAGCTTTCCCACAACAGCATGAATGTGAGGAGGAACTGGTTTTTGGGGACCATGAGAGAAACTTCAGCCTCGACCAGGAGGATCCGGAGCTTCCACAGATAAAAGAGGAACAGGAGGAACCTTGCACCAGTCAGGACGTAGATCAGCTTGTAGTGAAGCAGGAGACTGAAGGCATTATTATCTTCATGGTGGCTCCTACTTATGAGGAAAGTGAGCCAGAGCTGGACAGTGAACGTCTCCTTTCTTACAGCTCTCCTGAACCAGAGAGCAGAGATCAGCAAGACAACTTTCCTGTGTCAGAGAGTCAGCGTAAAACTGACACAAGTAAAAAGTTTGTAAAATGTGAGATTTGTGGAAAAACCTTTGAGTACAGATCCAAACTAACGAGACATATGAGAGTTCACACAGGTGAGAAGCCACATTCTTGCAGCACCTGCGGAAAAAGATTCAGCCTGATGATAAACTTGAAAACTCACATGAGAATCCACACAGGTGAGAAGCCGTATTCTTGTGGCATCTGCGGAAAAGAATTTAGAGACCAATCAACGTTCAAAAAGCACATGACAGTTCACACAGGTGAGAAGCCTTATTCTTGTAGCACCTGCGGGAAAAGCTTCAGTCAGAAACCAACACTGGAGAGACACCAGAGAAGCCACACAGGCGAGAAGCTGCACTCCTGCGGCACCTGTGGGAGGGGATTCAGTCAGATGATAAACTTGAAAACTCACATGAGAATTCACACAGGTGAGAAGCCTCATTCATGTAGCACCTGCGGGAAAAGCTTCATTCAGAGGATACAGTTACAAAGACACATGAGGATTCACACTAGTTAAAAGTGGGAGAACTGTCAGATGAAGCAGTCCACTGAGAAGCCAGATCAGAGCAGATCAGATGACCTCCTTCATTAAAAAACTCTGTATTGTTTATTGTATGTAGGGGTGGGAGATATAGCCTCAAAATAATATTTCAAGAAACGTACGTTTAAAAAAACAATGTACATTTTATCAGCTCGGCAGGCAGCAGCATTTATATGTGTAAGTAAATGAAGGATTTTCCATCTTTCTCTTCCAGTGAGCTGCTGTCACTGATGACAGCTTAGCTAATTCAAAGTGTGAAAATGTGGCCACCTCAAGGTGCTTGATATTGTAAGGTAAAGACCCAACAATAATACAATGAAAACAGAGAAAACCCAAACAGTCATATGACCCCCTATTAGCAAGCGTTTTGGCAACAGTGGGAAGGAAAAACTCCTTTTTAACAGGAAGAAACCTCCAGCAGAACCAGGCTGCACAATTCTGTCATATAAGGAAAAAAAATTCTGCCTGGTTTGTTTCATCTTGGGTCGAGCTTTTTAACCTCCTGCTTTTCCACCGTGTAGCACGTCAGTAATTTCCATCCACTGACTGCTCTTGCTGTTATATTAAATGTAACTCACGAGTGCTCCAGTGATGCATGGTGGAATCATTTGTTTACCTTTGGGTCGCACATCACTGCTGCTGGTATCTCCTGCTCACGTGCCTTCACAGCCCGGTTGTACTCAAGTGTGTTTTTGCTGGTTTGCTTTTTTCACTTTCAGTGGGAAAAGTTTTCTTGCATATTTTGCGAACATTCAGCTACCAAACTGTGACTGGAGCCCGACATATGGCTCTGGCTGTGAGACATGACTGGGGTTGACTCACTGTGGTGAATGCAAACACATGATGTTCCTCTAAACACACTTTTTTGTAAACATTTATACCAGTATTATTGCAGATCATATGATATGTCACAGCCCTAATTCTGTTTGTTGCATATTCCATTAAAACCTGTAATGAAGATGAAACACGTATTTACATTCATTTGATGTAATATTTGTATCGTGTTGAGCTGTGGAGGTGACAAAAAAAAGTTGCTGAGATGTTTTATTTTTTTGTTTAGTGGAGAGGTTTTACTACACTGAGTCAAAGAAACACACATGAGACCAAACATTTTGTGATTTAATCTTGATTTCCATGAAGATTGAATTTCAGCATGTGCTCATCCTGTTGATTCGTATGTTGGTGTTGGTTATGTGTCTTAAAAGTGAAATAAAGATTTCTTTAAAACTTCTTGTGGCTATTTTTTTTTAAGGCACAATCTCTACAACATGAAACAACGTCTGTGAAGCACATTTTGTACAGTGGGCAGGGAGACTTGCCCATCACTGTGGTGGTGGTGGGGTGGATGAGATTTGCCTGCGGTCACTTAAGGCTCTGTATGTTGTGGGTCTGTATGGAAGTTGAGGTCAGTGGCTTCAGACCGGCCAACTATGGTGGTAATCATGGTCCCCTGTTTTATGAAGGGAGTGTGGAGGGTATGTTTGCACTTCAGGCCTCCCTAGGAAGGCCTATATCTGTAGTCACTTCCCCTGTTTTCTTATTGCTGTTTCAAATTGTTTCTGTTTGTAGACTTTTTATTGAAAGATTTTGGTTTGGATTTTGGTTTATATTATTAATATGTGCATTTGTTGTTATTAATAATATTTGCTTCACTCTCCATTTGATGTGTTTTTGGTATGTTTTACTTTTAATTGTTCTATGATTATGTTTATGTGGGGTTTATAATTATATTTAAGTTCTGGGTTTTTTTATGAATAAAAGTGACTTAACTTGTCAGAGATATGAGACTTTGGGCATTTCCCCTTCTGTCTTATTCTCAGTGTCTTGTCTCCATGTTTATTTACCTCTGTGTTGCTATCTTTGTGTCTCTGTCTCTTTCTCTTCCCCTGTTCAGTGGGATTTAAGACTTCCAACAAATAATTTCAAAGGGTCAATTAAATTTTAATAAAACCATTTTACTCAACACTGCACTCTAATTTTAGCATTTTTTTTTACTCAATCATAAAAAGGTTCATCTTAAAAGATGTTTCAGAGACATTTTTATTACTTTTTTCTTTCTTTCTTTTCTTGTTGTCCGGTTTTGTTTTTTAGCCATCAGAATTATTGTCTGAAGGCCAAAAAAGATGACCAACTAACTTAATTTACCAAATGGACCATCACGGCCTTGCCATATTGATCAACCTTTGTTATTATTTATTTATTTTAATTTATTTTCAGCTGTTACAGACGGGACAGACATGACTGGGGGATAAGAAAGAAGAGGGACAGTGAGAAAGGGCACTTAAAAAATATCTCCCAGGTCACCTGTTAAAAGAAGAAAATAAGAGAAAACAAGCAAAAAGAGAGCAACATAATAACACAACACCATTGCAATAATCTAGCTAAGTGTAAATAACAGTAAATATTAAATATTGAATGTGATTGTGCAGCACGCAAGATTGACATCGCACAATGTGGTTTGAGATAGCAGCCAAGAAAGGTGTAGCTTGTGTGTGTGAACACCTGTGTGGATGAGCGCTCTTCTATTCAAAAGGCTTCTCCATGTAACGATCTGCTAGA